AAGATGTCATTTTCCACTGAATTCTATTTTGTTATTTTTGTCAAAAGGTAAGCTTGAACTCATGAGTGCAAAAAAACATTGATCTTGTTGCTAATGGGATATAGTCAAAATAAGCAGTTCGACTGGCTTCCTCCCGCCCTTATATTCGCATTGCCACTTTTAAACTATTTCTGAAATGATTAGTGTAGGAGGATGGTTTAGTCTCATATCTTCTCCTTTAAAGCACTCAGAGTTAGAGATCCCAGAAGGATCCGTTTTCTCACTTGTACTGAAAATGTCACTCTAACAGTTATCTGTCTGCACAGTCAAGTTTTGAGAAATCTTTTGAATTTACCGCATTCACACTATTCTCCATCATGGTGCTAAAAAATGACTAATGCAGCTTGGAGACTGGGAGACTGTGATAGCTGATCTTTTCCAATCATACACGAACACTCACACATACTCACACGCACACATGCTCAGCTGAAATGCATTCTTAAAGGTTGAAAATATCCTATACGCTACATGGAATGCTGAGAGATGTGGGGTGCCTAAATGTATAATGTTGGTTTTATTATGGTCGGTTCTATTGAATAGACTGGTTGTTTGACTGAATAGACTGATCTTGTTTTTAACCAAATGGGTCACTATAATGTCTGAATTAATTTTATACATAGATTTTTTCTTTTTTTTTTTTTTGGTGGCTGGTGAATTAATTTATTTAAAAATAATCTCTGGCATTGAAAATTTCAGATACCTTATTTAATTTTGTCTTCTTATATTCTCTGAGAAAAGTGAAGTACATCATTCCCTTTTTAATTAAGAGGAAACAGTCTTAAAGAGATAATGACCTGCCCCAAATCATGCTTATGGTCAAAGGGTCACTTTCTTTTAGGCCCCTAATTAGTCATTATAAGCCAGTATAGGATCACTAGAACCAAATCATCTAAATGAACTTCATTTCTTTTTTTGAGGAATGCTATTCTGATGGTCAAAGGGACTGTCACAAGCACAGATATATCCTACTCCCAGAAAAACATATGAAAAAGTTTCCTGTGATGTCATTTAGAGAATGATATAGAAGTGAATGGGCTGAATAATAGTGACTGAGTGAACTGGGAGCTGATTACATCCAAAAGGGGAGGATTAATTGATTGTCATTAACTTACAATAAGTTTCAGCAATTTTCCATAAGACTATTGTTGGTCCTGTCCAATTCAACAATTTTTATCAGTTACCTAGAAGAGGTCTAGGAACTTGCTTACTAGATTTGCATATAATACAAAGCTAGTAAGGAAGTAAAGATTAGTAATTCACTACATGACAAAGTGAAGTTTCAAAAATGTCTGTTATGTAGGATGATGGGTTGACATTTATTAAAGATAAAGATAAAGCCTTGCACTTAATTAGAAAAGTAATTGGGATAAAATGAGTTGAATTGAGAGTGACTGCTCAAAAAAAGGTTTCAAGTTTTAATGAAAAAGTCAACGCAATCTTCCTTAACGTTCAGAGAAAGGAGTGTGCAGGTTGATAAAAGTAGCATGCCTATCCTGGTGGTACCCATGTTGAGTATTATGTTCAATTTTGGAAACCATATATTAAAAAAGATCCTGACAGACTGTTGTTTGCTTATTGGATGGGGAGAAAAGTGAAAAATTAGGGAATCATGCAATATGGAAAAAGCGGGGTGGTTTGTCTGTAATATAGCAGGGGCTTTGATTACTATCTTTATGGAGCACGTGCTGTGTGTATTAATTACTTAATCCTCAGAACAACATGATGAATTATTTATTACCATTACTGACATGGAACTAAGAATACATATCTAGACGACCTGAATTCAATTTGGGTGGTCTGACTTCAGAAGCTATTCTCTTAGCCACTATACCACATTATTTCTTGGAATATTTATCAAATATTTGAAGGTTGCTATGTGGATAGAAAGTTAAAGTTATTCTGCGGGGCATAGTTATCAATAGATGGGCAGACTCAGGTTATATCTCAAAGTAGAGAAGTTTTCTGGACACTAGAAAATGCTAATACATCTTCTGTTAAAATGTTAGACTAGACTATGTTACTAAGGTAACATCCAACTACAAGATTCTAATTTACTGACTTGATATAACACAATATTATCATGAACAGAAAAAAAACCCTTAACAGAAGAAGTAACTTAAATTAATTGGTGGTAATTTAAATGACGTTCTCTTGAGCACAAGTTTAGAAAGTGCCCCACCCCACATCCCATCTTGCTGAGATGTCCTAACCATGTATCCTTGGTAGCCTTCCTTCATGGGCACCAAACTCTGCCAAAATTATATAAACTTTTGTTTCTCCATCTTTGTACTCTATCTAGAATATTGTCAATATTATACTACATGCAGATCTCCTTCCAAGGAGGAAGTTATTATTGCAGAAATAACAAATGTTATTAAAAAGCCCATATATTTGGGGACTTTTAATAGTTGCTTGGTGTATTAAAATCAATGTTGGAATTGGTTTCAGAATGCTGAGAGGGTTATTTCGGTCAGACACTAGTTGTGATCTCTGGAGCACTTAATTTTATTTATTCTGCTTTAATTTTTACATTTAAAAGATAAGGATAACAATATTATCACCTTTACAAGATTATTGTAATGAATGCAGTAATACTTGTAAAAACTCTTACCATACTATGCAGATTCTCAATAAACGTTTCAGCTACCGGTGAATGTTTTTGCAAAAATAGTTGGATGCAATAAAGAATTTGCCTGGCTTTGTTCCTGGGATGTAAATTCTAAATTCTTTGAATTTCCGGAGTGATTGAAATGTCTTTGCTATTTATGGGGGGCCTCTTGGACCCCAACTTATAGTTTACACTAACGAAGTGACTCAGAATAGGGGCTGGCCAGCCAGAAAGACCAACCATGTGATTAGAGGGTTGAGCTTTGAGCCACATGTTATTAGTCCAACTTCTGGGGAGGGGAGGGAGGCTGGAGATTGAGTTCAACCACATGGCCAATAATTCAATCAATAGTGCCTATGTAATAAAGCCTCAGTAAAAATGGAGGACACTGAAGCTCAGGTGAGCTTTCCAGGTTGGCCACACATTGATGTGCTGGGAGGATACTGCATCCCTGACAATGCAGGAAACTTCACTTCTGGAACCCTGCCAGACCTTGCTCTGTATGCTTCTCCCTTTGGCTCATTCTGATCTGCATTAGTTTGTTATAATAAAGATGTAATCACAAGTACTGTGCTTTCTTGAGGTCTGTGAATCATTCTAGCAAATTATCAAACCTAAGGGAATCTGTGGGAACCCCACATTTATAGCCCCTTTGTCAGAAATGATGACAGTCTTGGGAACCTCCAAACTGTAGCTAGTGTCTAACATGAGGGTAGCCTTGGTGAGAGCTTAACCTATGAAGCTGGTCAAAATCTGGGTAAGTTGCTTAAGCATACATGTGAAAAATTTAGATTTATATAAAAATAAACTGGTAGTAATATTTGACTTTGCAGTTCATCTTAGAATATGTCAATGTGATTTGATTATAGAAAAAAAATTTAAAGCAAATTTTTAGAAACATCTTCACTGAGTAATTTGAAGAAAGAAAACATATATTTAACATCTAAAACATTTTAGGTACTGAGATAGGATACAAGTTTATAAAATCATAATGCCAGTGCTAGTCTCTTGTTTACATATGAAGAATCATTTTCTTTGAGCACTGGAATCATATCTTATGCAATTCTGTGCAGCACAAGGCGTGGCACCATGTAAATATTTAATACATGCTTTTGCTTAACTTTCTCAGATAACTAAAAGAAGGGCAGAGTTTGATCTTGTCAACCTTTGGTATGTTTGTTCCCTAGAACTCTACTATACCTGTCATTGTATTTATCACTCAATTTTATTGCTTCCCTGCACCTCTGGAAATCTCATGCAGGTTTGGAACTGTTTATTTTTCTTGCCATGGTATCCCCAGTGCCTAGTACAGTGCCTGGAACAGAGAGGGCCCTTGAAAGAGAGAGAGAGAGGGAGAGACAGAGAGAGATTGATTTTGGCCTGTGCAGGGATCTGAACCCTTGACCTTGGTCAATACCACACTCTAACCAACAGAGCTAGCCGGCCAGCTGATAAATATTTTTGAATGGAGACTTAGAGTTAAGAGGAGTTTCTCATTCACAGGAGTTAATTTTTCCATAGTTTGAAAGCAGATAAATTAAATGTGTTTATTAAAAGAGAATAAAACCCAGCACTTTCTTTACGTTATTTTAGGTACACAACTATAAGTATTTTTGGAAGTAGAGAAGTTAATAAGCTTGTGATGTTTTCCATAAATAAGCAAAAGTAAATTAAAATAAAATTTAAGCTATATTGGCATTTTAGAACAAATAAAGAAAATAATCTGTGCATTTAAAATACAGCCAAAGGCAATGCATTCTGACAGCCAATCATTATTATCATCCTGTCAGATTTTTTTCACCAACACATGTACTGATGATGTGTACTTAATTTTGCATCTGAATTTATCAGATTGGTTGTTTCTCCTCACCAAAATTTCTACTAGGTAAATTTCCCAAGATCATTTGTTATTCAACTCAAAATTCCTCTTTGGTTCCATAGACAGAATTTACGGCGAATAAGGAAAAAAAGACCATCCAGGTTCCCCGCACTCCTATATTTTCTTATTCTGAGGCTTGTCTGTGCCAGCTAAGAAGCATTGTTGAATATGGCCTCATTGAAAGACCTAATAAGAATACAATGACCAGTTTGTTTTAAATACACTAAAAAAAGCAGACAGGGTCTCATGAGAAGTGACATTCTGTAATTACCTCCTCCTATCAAAAGAAAAACAATTCCCAGAAATTAATGAATACAGCAAGAGTCTATTTCCTATCTTAATTCTATCTTAATTGCAAAAGTGGATCAATTAAGAAAAAGACTACACTGGCAAAGCCCCTCTCTTAAGATATTGTCTCCCAGTTCCCTAGTCATCAAATCAATGTATATAAGCATACCATGAACCTATTTTTACCTTTTGAGGTGAGATATACCAACTCCACCAACAGTGCCCCTGTGAAACACCCAAATCCATTGAACAGTGTCAAAAAACTCATAGAGGTTTCTCTAATGGTGCTTGCAACAAATCTGTATGATATTACAGAGACTGAGAGAAAAAAGAGACGGTCAGAATTTAGAATCTCCTTCCTAAAACAGTTTCACAGATACTGTTTTGATCATTAATATTGATCATACAGCAAAGAAAATTTACTGATGCAATCAAAATTTGGTTTGGACTTTGCTAAGGTTACTATAATAATATATATTATGATATAATTTACAGATGTCTTCACGGAATAGAATATGGCAAAATCTACCCTTGTACAGCTACGAGGAGAATTTGATTACTCGGCAGTTGCGTGTCCTAATATATTCACCCCGATTTCACTCCAATTTGAATATTTCTGAAGAATTTTGGATTGAGGTGAGGCCTATACTAGATGATATCATGAGAATCTATCAATTCTGTGATTCTATGTATATCATTAGGTTCCTTATGAAAAACATGAATTTATAGTACAAAATTTGCACAGAGGTTAAGAACATGGGCTCTGGTGTGAGACAAGGTTGTGCTAAAATCCCATGTCAATCATTTACGATCTCTGTGATTTTAGGTAAGCTGCTTAGACTTTCCAAGCCTCAGTGTCATCCTTTACCAAATGGGAATAATATCATGACTTATTTGCAGAGGTGCTGTGACACCCACCTGCTGTAATAGGTGTAAGTGCTCAGTGCCGTGTTGACTTGTAGGCACTGAATAAAGGCTGTTTATTTTTAGCAATATCAACCTTACCAAATCAAATAGCTCCTATTTGTGCAAGGCACTGTACATGCACTATCCCGTTTAAGGAGGGGACACCTAGAGAGAGACAGTAGCTTTAGCATTGGGTTTCCAAAGTGGTTCTTTTCTTCCTAAGTCATTGTTGAGGTACCAATAGGTTAAAATAGGTTAAAAAAATCATGGAGGAAATTAAAAAAATTTTTTTTAATTAAAAATATTTTTTGGGGGGCCGGCCCAGTGGCTCACTCGGGAGAGTGCGGTGCTGATAACACCAAGGCCCCGGGTTCGGATCCCATATAGGGATGGCCGGTTCGCTCACTGGCTGGGCGTGGTGCTGACAACACCAAGTCAAGGGTTAAGATCCCCTTACCGGTCATCTTTAAAAAAAAAAAATATTTTTTGGGGGGCCGGCCCAGTGGCTCACTCGGGAGAGTGCGGTGCTGATAACACCAAGGCCCCGGGTTCGGATCCCATATAGGGATGGCCGGTTCGCTCACTGGCTGGGCGTGGTGCTGACAACACCAAGTCAAGGGTTAAGATCCCCTTACCGGTCATCTTTAAAAAAAAAAAATATTTTTTGGGGGCCGGCCCCGTGGCGCACTTGGGGGAGTGCAGCGCTTGGGAGCGCAGCGGCGCTTCCGCCACGGGTTCGGATCCTATATAGGTATGGCCAGTGTGCTCACTGGCTGAGTGCGGTGCCGACGACACCAAGCCAAGGGTTGCGATCCCCTTACCGGTCACGAAAAAAGACAACAACAAAAAAATTTTTTTGAAATCAGAAATAGATGAAAGTAAATGCAAGTATATATGATTTTGTGTATTCCATATTAACATAACTATATTACAATGTGCCTAGCAATCTTAGGGATATATGTTAAATATTTGATATTTATTATAATGTATCTGGGATTTGTTTCAAAGTTATACACAGAGGGGAAGAGGGTATACAAGTAAGAATAGAGATAAAGTACAGCCTTATAACACCAAGGTCATGGGTTTGGATTGCCGAAACAAAACAACACAAAACAAAACAAAAACCAAAAAAGAATAGAGATTAAAGCAAGTTTGGCCATGAGTGGAAAATTGTTGAAACTGGAGGATGGATACATGGGAGTTTATTATTCTAATCTGTCTCTATTGTATATATATGGCAAAAATTTGTAAGTAAATAAGTTAAATAACATTAACAGGCTTAGCTTTGAGTGCTTTAGTTATTGGATTTCTAATTTTTTTCTTACTCTTGTGCTTTGCAAATTTTTCTACAGTGAGGTCATAAATAAATATTAAAGCTCAGCTAAGAAAGAAAAGTGATAATAGAAAATAGATGTGCTGTAAACCCTAAACTTTTAGTTTCCTTCTGTATAAGAAGAAAAAGGTTTTACTATGTCCTCCCTTCCCTCTAAGGATTATTCCACCTCTAGTTTACCTGTACGTTACCCCCAAACTCTTCATTTGCCTAGCACTTTTAAATGAACTTACGAATAAGTAATATGTATTAATGTTCCTTCCTGCATTAGTTTAACATTTCTGTTTTACTTTCTGTGTGTTCTCCACATGTTTTTATTCATTTATTCAATAAAATGTAAAGGACTCCCTTTTTGTTCTCCAGGAAAGGTGCTGAGTGCTGGGGCTCAGGGGTGAGTTTTCAGTTAATTTTTCTGAATTTTAAACTCTGGATGGGCAAAGAGCAGACATATATGTATTACAAAGAACTGTGCTAAACAGGCACTTCATTTCACAAATACCGATAACTATGGTGCTAAATAAAACACTGTGGAGAAGGGCTTCAAATATTGGTGGCCAGGACCATAGCTCTTCTGTGTAGCACAAATCACCAGCAGGAGCCTGAGACCGAGCCTTCTAGTATTTTCAGGAAGGTCCAAGTGACAGCATGAGGGTAACACTGAACAAACTTTGGGAAAAAAAGAGTCTCAGTTATAAAACAGATGTGGCTTGTGAACTTTCCTCTCTATAAATATGAAGGGCCAAACAATGAGCATAAACAGTAAGGAAGCCAATTTTTTTTCACTAAGAAAAAGCAGAACATACAAGCCCATTATTACTCTGCTGGTTAATTATTAATCCTATGCTTTTCGCTTGCTAGAACTTCTGGTATGGTATATAATTCATGAACACATTTTGCCAGCTCTCTGCCTGCTGGTTAATCTCTCTTTGGTGTCATTTTAGTCGTTTTGAAAGCCTCCAGTTCCCTTTAATAGGACTTAACTTTTCAAGTCCTCAATCTCCATTTTCGGGCATGTTCTGATCTTTTTCAACTTTAGTGATCATCAACTTGATTTTTTAGGCTCCGAGATACTTCTCTTAGCCTGTTATACTATAAGATGTTATCAATAAGTCTGCCACTACTCTAAAATTCGCATTTTACGATGAAGACACAATAAAAAATATTCAAACTGTATGTGGAAGCTGGTTTTCTTGCCAGTGGGAGCTAAAAAATGTGCCTCCAGGTAGTAGCTGCTTAGTGTTTGCAGAGATGCCACATGACAGCATATGCGGATAGGGCCGTAACCTCCTTCCTAAGGCACCTGCTACTGGGGACTCATTGCTGGAATTTTTTTCACTCCAATTGCTATGTTTATCTTGTTTGGTGAGAAGTTATTTTGAATATGTGGAGAAGTACCACAGTCCCAGAGAATGGAGCTTTATCCTATGCCACTTTCAGACCATTATCCTTCCTTATCCCTAAGAAACTTCAGCTGTGAATCTCATGTTATCAGAGTATGTCACCTCTCTTTTGTGGCATCATCTGCCAACCTCGAGGACACTTTCCTCTATTTCTTAAAGTTGTCAGCTCTTCTCTCATTGTCACACTCTCCAGTACTAGTCTTAAGTCTTGGCAATTTTCACATACATATACATCATCCTTCCAACTTTCCATCCGTCCAAATCTTGGTGTCTCAGTTCCTGGGTCTCCCATGTCTTTGTCCTCCATTCTACTTTAGCTTCCACTCCACTCACGCCCATGGTCACAGCCTGTACCTTCTACCTCTGACCAGGGGTTGGCCGACTATGGCCAGGTAATGTACAGCTTGCCACCTATTTTCATAAAGTTTTATTGGAACACAGCCACACACATTCATGATATGTTGTCTGTGGCTGCTTTTGCACTGCAGTGACATAGCTGAGTGGTTGTAACAGAGATGGGTCTGCAAAGCCTGTTTACTACCTTACAGAAAAAGTTCACAAACCCGTGCCCTGGATCAATAACTACAACCGCTCCATAATCTCAACTTTGTGTACTCCCCTCTGATCACCACCTTCAATCTTCCTAACTTACCCTCTACTGCTCAACCACAAAAATGCTGGAAGTTTTACAATGACAGAAATTTTTGCCTTTTTCTTTTCAACAACTGATATGTCTAAAGCTCCCAGAACAGTGATAGGCATAATGTAGACACCCACACAGTATTTTTTGAATAAACAAGCACAGGTTATAAGACAGCCAGAGTTTACACTGCTACTATTAAAACATAGTTTGTGAGTGTCCTTTTTTTTTCTTTTTTCTCGTAGTTCATTTCTAGTGTACGACATGGCTTAGTAGGGTAGGAAATGCCCACTAAAGGCTGGTCATTTAGCTCAATTGGTTAGAGAGCCACCTTGTAACACCAAGGTCAAGGGTTTGGATCTCCTTACTGGCCAGCTGCCAGAAGGAAAAAAAAAAAAAAAAAGGCAAAAACTGAGCTCCAGTCCTCCTTTTTAAAAAAGAAAATGTCCACTGATATTTGTGGAGTGACATAATGTACTTCCTTTCTCAATGCCATCTGTGTAGGACATAGTCAATAATTTGAATGATATATTTTTATTGTATATAGAAATAGGTATAGATTTTATTCACTTATTTGTTTATTCAATCAAAATACACTTATTGATCACCTATTTTGTACATGTGCTTTTCAGCAAGGAAGAACTGGAATATGGGGATGAACAAGAAAAACAAAAATCCTGACTTCAGGGAGTGTACGTTCTCATGGTGAGAGGCAGGCAGTACACATGCAAATATGAGTAAAGGGATTACAGATTTGAACAAATGCTTTTTACATATACATACATGCATGAAGGAACAGGGTGGTGGAATGGAAAGTGAGAGGATGGTCAGGGAAGCCTCTCTAAGGAAGACCTTTGAGAAAACTCAACAAGGAGAAGAACCCAGACATTTGAAAACAGAGGAAAGGGAATTCCAGATAAAGAGAAGATCAAGGGCAATTGCCTTGGGATGTGCTGTAGTTTGAATGTCCCCCCAAGCTCATGTTGAAACTTAATCCCTAATATGGTGGTAGAAGGCAGGGCATTTAAGAGGTGATCGGATCATGAAGACTGTGCCCTCATAATGGATTGATACATTCATGGAGTAATGGATTCATAGTTTAATGGGTTGTCATGGGTGTGGTTCCGATGGCTTTAAAAGGAGAGCATGTGAGAAGGTTAGCTCCCTTGCTCAGCCCATTTCTCTTGCCATGTGACACCCTCTGTTGTTGTGGAGAGTCACTACCAAGAAGAAGGCGCTCACCAGATGAGCCCCTCAGACTGTGGACTTCCCAGCCTCTAAAACTGTAGGAAATAAGTTTCATTTCTTTGTAAATTACCCAGTTTCAGGAATTCTGTTATAAGCAATAGAAATGGACTAATACAGGGTAGAGATACGTTGGTACCTTAGAAACACTCAAATTTCTAGCAAAGTGGTCAGGGGGTGGAATATAACAAAATGTAGTTAGATGGGTCTGCAGAGGCCAAATCGTGTGGAGTCTTATTCACCATGGTAGGAAATTTATCTCTAAAACCTTATTGTGGAATTTTAAGCAGGGAAATGATAGCACTTACATTTTGGAAAGATCACTATAGCTGTTTTGAAGAGGATGGACTCACCGGGCTAGAGAGAAAGCAGGAAGACAGGCTGGGAGGCTCTGCTAGAATCGGGGCTAGAGATGATGGTGGTAGAGACCAGAAGGACAGCAAAAGAGATGATGAGACATGGTCAGATTTAGGCTATATGTCACAGTGAAGACTCAGGCTTGCTGTTGGATTGGAGGTGAGAAACAATGGGAAGAGAGGGATCTGGGATAACTCATGTGAGAAAGACAGTTCCTCTCACACGACCAGGTCTCCTGGTGTTCCCGTTGTTTGTGGTAGAAAGAGCTGGGAGCAGGATGCCCATGCTTGGGTCCTGAGTCTGGCACTATGAATTCATGTGAAAGATGATAATAATAATAGTAATAATAATAGCAACACACATTATAGATGCTGATAATTGAGTGCCATCTATATATTAGGTACTGTGCTTTTTGCTTTACATAAGATATTTCACTTAGTCATTTGAACAGCTCTTCTCCATTTTATAGATGGTGAGAAGGGCTCAGAAATGCAGAGTAATTTTCTCAGTGTCACACAGCTGGTCAGTGGCAGAATTTCACTAGAACTCAGGTCTTTCCAGCTTTAAGACCATAGATCTTAACCACTATACTGTACTGCCTCCCAGAAGAGTAACTTGATTTTACAGTTCAAAACACCCTTTCACATTTTATGTCACTTGATTTTCAAGGACTAGTCTCTCATTCCCATTGATTCTTACCCTAATACTGTGATATAAGGAAGAATGATAATTACTTTCATCTTAAAGTTCAGAAAGGTGCAACTTGGAGGTTAAGTGAGTTTAACGTAGGTAGTAAGAGAAAAGCTGGAATCTAACCAAAGTCTTCTGGTCCCCAGCCCATGATCCCTATAGCAGATATGTCAGTTGACTTAGTTAGAACTCAGTTTCCTGATGGATAAATCAAGAGGGAGGTGGACTAACTGATGTATATCACATAATCTGCTTTTTTGGCAGCCAATGGCTATAGCACCTCTCTGGCTTCTGTATGTTGAACCTATGACTAAGCTGGCTGGGAATTTTCTTGCTGTGCTCACCCACTACGTTCACTCATTACCTTAGTCCACATCTAGCCCAGAAAATTTTGGCTGATTGCTTTCAACAATTTTCTGCAAAAATCAGGGAAGAACATGAGGGAAGATCACAAATGTTTGTGCAGTGGCATTGATTTACACTTCTTTTGTATTCTTTGCAGTGTTAAACAGTGATGTTCTCATCATAAAATTTTACAAAAGAATTTATTCATGCAAAATACATGGAATGAAATGATTTAAAATGATGTAAAAAACAAGTCTGACATACATATATATAACTATAACTACACACAATTTCATTTTGGCTTTTGAATGAATGGCTTTGATATCATATGAATACGTTTGTAAATACATTTTTATTAAATATATATGTTTAAGGAATTTGGAAATAACTTTAAAGATAATAGATTTCATCAAAGGTCTTAGACACAAATAAAATGATCTGAGTTGTCATTTAGGATGATTACTGTAAAGGTCGTGTGCTGGTTGATAGAATGGGAGAGATATTGGAGGTAAAAAGATAAATGTTATAAAAATACTCTCACTAAGTTATAATGGGGCATGAGTTAAAATCACGGCTTCCACTGCAGAGAAATATAAAGAAGGTAGACACATAAAATGTGATAAATTACACTGGTAACTATAAGCATACTCACACACACACACACACACACACACACACACACACATTACTGTATTGCAGGAAGTCACTGAAGTATTGTGATAAATTTTAAAGTGGCTAGTTTAATTAATACAAGCAATCTAGATAATCCAGACACCCTTGATATTTAATAAACTTGTTTTGAACCTGTCTTATGAAACACTAGTGATCACATTTAATCAGTGTAATTTAATTTAAAGACATTACATTATCTAGAAAATTGGCTCATTTCATTTGCGTGTTTATACATTCTCAAAGTAGGTTAAATGTCATTTTTGGAGGGAGTCTATCTTCCCTCCTGGGAGCAAGAGGGAAGAAGGAGAGAAGGAAGGGAGGAGAGAAGAGGAGAGTTTTCATCTGAGTGTGCTGAAGTTGCCTTCCAGGTCTTGGCAGAGTTTTTTTCCTCCTGTTGTGTAATGTATTTGACCAAATGGCTACTGATATTAACCAGGTTAGTAAATCTTTCATTCCATCTACATCCAGGCAGAATTAATAATTGTTCTGTATGTAGTAGAGGAATAAAGGGAAATGAAACATTTTTTTAAAATGGGGGTGATAAATAGGCTTGTTTGAGGCATAGTGGAGATTGAAATCTCCAGGGGACAAATAGATCACCTGCCATTTTAACTGTTCCTGTTGAAGTGATGTGTTCTGTGTAAAGGTTCAGTACATAGTAACATTAATTGATAAAACTGTTACTCACAGGCTGGGTTTACCAGTGTTCCAGCCACTCCAAGTAGAATGTACTGAAGAACCAGGTGGAAGCAAAGCATGGAGGAAACAGTGAGAATTCTGCCAGAAAGAGGCTGCTCTGCTGGAGGGAAATGTTTTCTATGTATTTCAGAGAAGACAGCTACCATCACAGACAATGCAGCAGAAAGATTTCCAGCAACTAAAAAAAAAAAAAAGTGCAAAAGAAAAAAGTGAAAGGGAGAGCTAGAAATTAGTCAACAGGCCATAGCATTTCTTGCACACTGACATGTGGGGGTGTTTCCACAACATTTTTTGGCCCTTGATATATCCAGACACCATCCTGTGCTTGGTCTCTGGCCTCAGAAAGGGCTGGATTGACTCCCTATTGCCTGATTTACTGGTTATATGACCTCAGGCCAGTCTCTTCAGCTCCTTATCACTTTCTTTAGCTCTAAGATGCTTACCTTGTAGGGTGGAGTGAGATTTTATTAAGGTATTATTATAAGAGTTCCTGATAGCAATTAATAGCAACTATTATTGATAATAAAAGCAGTGGTTTGAACTTTTACACCTAAATAATATATATCACTTTAGATAATTTTTTTGGGATATATATATATATATTATATATATGTATATATATATAAATCAAAATTATATATATTATATATATATATATATAAATCAAAAATGATTTGGGGGAAATTTAAAATAAAATTATTTCTTTAGCTTTAATTATTATTTAAAAAAATGGTTTTGAAATAACCTGAAGGCATTGCCAGTCCTCAGTTTTCTGTCATTTCTCTAATCTTTGCAGAAAAAGTAAAGCAGCTATTAGAGAATCAAAGACTGAAAACTTCAGTTTAGAAAAGAAAAGTTTAAAGAGGTAAATTAGCTAGGTGCAGAGTATAAATGCAAGCGATTATTCAGATAGTGATTAAGTTCTCTTCCTTTCACTTTTAGGGAATTATCTAAAAAATTTTGGTTGAAAATAAGTAGGAATTTTGTTACAGAGTTTATATCACAGCAACAATTCCATTTCTCAATTTATCATTTATTTTACTGGACTTGATCCTATTGTTAGAGCAGAAGCAAACTTTACCTTGATGGAATTTACTTAAAATTTAGAGATAGTCACATTTTGCTAACTTGCATAAAACTTTAGATAAGACAAAGCTTTCAATTCAGAAAAATCAATCTAATGTTTAAATAGCTTAGTATTTGTTTTGGTTGATAGAGAAACTGGTAGGTAAATTTTTTGATTATATCTCAGCATTTAAATGTATCCATAAAGACTGTTCTTTACTGGGTCTTCCCAAAATGGAAGGAGTAAAAAAGGAGGAAACTTGAAACACAGTTAAAAATTTTGAGAAAATTTTTATGTATTTCTATTTTTTTTAATTAATTAATTTATTTTTTGTCTTTTTCCGTGTCCGGCAACGGATCGCAACCCTCAGTGTTGCCCCCGTACCGGACCGGGGACTGGCAACGGGATCGCAACCCTTGGTGTTGCTCCTGCGCCTCGCTCAGCCAGTGAACGGGAACCGGTCTGTATGTGGGATCCGAACCCTCGGGCGGGAGCACCGCTGCGCTTCCCAAGCGGCGCACTATCCAGTGCGCCACCGGGCCGGCCCATATGTATTTCTATTTTTAAATTAAGGTCTATGAAGGCCATTCATGGTCAAGTAGAAATTTTGTTTCTGTGAGCAGCTCATGTAAAAAAAAAAAATAGGAATTTCACATATTTTCTGCCTTTAAGATCAAATTCATCACACAATTGCATTTATCTAGATTAGTTGGCACATTATAAACTCATCGGAAAGAGTGCTAACATGTCAGTTCAGTTCAATATTTGCGCCGCTCCTGCTGTATTCAAGGTAGTATGTGAGGCACAGTGGGAGATGTAAGATGAAAAAGACCTGTCCCCAGTCATTGCAGACTCATGTTCTATTGGGGAATATAAGAACTTCTTTCTAGTTGTAGAGATGAGGGACATCATTTTGTGCTTTATAGAAAGAAGAGTTTCAATATGAAAAGGTGAAGGCAACACAAATGGCATGGGCAAAGGCAAAGAGTTGAGAAAGAATCAGACAAATTTTCAGTATGGTGAGAAGCTCAAGTTACTTGGGAATCAGGGGAGAAGATAAATTGGGGTAAGATTATAATATGTGTTTAATATACTTTTAAGGAATTTGGAAATTACTCTGAAGATAATAGAATCATTGAAGACTTTAGACACAAGTGAAATGATTAGAACTGTCATTTAGGATGATTACTCTAAAGGTCATGTGCTGGTTGATAAGAGTAGAAAAGATAATAGAGGTAGAAAGATAGGAAGTTATAAAAATAATCTTGGTAAGATATAGCAGAGGCTTGAATTACAATCAGGGCTTCTATTTCAGAGAAGTACAAGGAAGGAAGAAATACAGGTGCAACAGAGTGCACTGATAAAACCACTAGAACTGAAGCAAAGGGCGAGGAGGAAGCAGATGTTAGTGTTGAGCATGAGTCCACGTGACCAGAAGAAGGTGGTGACGATAATATAACGAAGACCCCCATAGTAGATACAGAGAACGTGAATTTAATTCTGAGTTGAGTTGGAAATAACAAAAGGGTCATGGAAAGAAAAGTACTCAGAAGACAATTAAACATGTGAGTCATAGCTCAGGAGATTAGTTGACTCAAGAGCGAAAGATTAATGAATCATCTCCCTAGAGTCAGAGTTTAGGTTCAGGTGAAATTGAAATAAGATTGGGGAGGGAGAGAAGAGAAAGTCTAAGCAATGCCTTCAAATGTGTTTGCATTTGGGGCAAAAATAGAAGCCAAAACCACTGAAAGAAAAGTCAGAAAGATAGGTAGTGTCCAAGGGAAGGTTTCAAGGAGGAGGATACACAAAACAGAGCATTTGATCTTTTTCTCTAATTCTTGCCCTTCCCTCTTCCCCATCTCCTCCAAATCTGGGGTCCTCTCCCTTTCCCCACTACCTCCAAATACATTTTTAAGTTCTTGCCTCTCTCCAAAGTCACTGCCATCATTTTAAGCAAAGCCATTCTCATTTTTAACCCAGAGCATGTGCCATAGCATATTAACTGGTCTTTCTGTTTCTATGCTTGCCCACCCCTAACCTATTAGGCACCCAGCGGTCAGGGTGATCTTAAATGAATGTAAATTGGCTGTTACTTTTCAATTTAAATTCTTTTTATGGGTTTCTGTACAGTGAAGAGTAAAGCTGAAACCCTTAACATGGCCCGTGTGATCTGCCTGTTCTTGTCACCTCACTCTAATTGCTCGCTACTTTCTCCTCTCTGACCATGTTTGCACCACGTTGATCTTCTTTGTCTTTCTTTTTTTTTTTTTTTTTTGTCTTTTGTCTTTTTTTCCGTGTCCGGCAACGGATCGCAACCCTCAGTGTTGCCCCCGTACCGGACCAGGGACCGGCAACGGGATTGCAAACCTCGGTGTTGCTCCCACGCCTCGCTCAGCCAGTGAGCGGGAGCTGGTCTGTATGTGGGATCCGAACCCTTGGCGGGAGCGCCGCCGCGCTCCAAAGCGGCACTGTAGCAGTGCGCCACCGGGCCGGCCGGAAATGATATATTTTTAGTGTGTTCATTTGTCCCATGTCTGTATCAATTACCTCATCAGGAGCTTCATGAGAATTGGAACCAAGTTTTTTTGTTTACCACTCCTACTACCAAGAAAAGTGTCCACATGTACACACATACACATGAATAAATGAATAAATGACCACAGAGTTAAATATTTTGAGCTACAGAGGATAATGAAACATGTGACAAGTCAACAGTATTGATTGAATTATCAGTTGCTTTTCACACTCAAAGAACTCCCGTGATTGAATCAGGAAGCAAAGGGTTGAAGTTTGAGTAGGTGACGAATATGTGTAAGAAGTGCCATCTCATTTTCTAAGAAGTTCGGTGCATAGAAAAGGAAGTTGTTTAAGAAGTTAGTAAGATTGTAGGAAGCTATATAATAAGATGTAGAAGGCTTGGTCTTGTTTGTATTTAGAGGTGGGGAGCCAATGGAGATGAGAAAAATTAAAGACATAAGAGCAAGAAATAAATAATATAGAAATGTCCTCAAGTAGGTAAGAAAGGGAAAAGAATTGAGGGCCCCAAAAGTTTAATCATAGCAAGGGAAGAAAAAGCCATTTTTTTTTAAAGGAAAAGAAATGTACAGCATGTTTAGAACAGAGCACTGAAAAATAGAAAACTTAATTTGAGGACATATATACTGTATGATCTTGATCTTACAAGAGGGGTTAAATCACTTGCTGAGTGAGCGAATGGGGATGAAACTGAGGGAATAGAGGGGGAAGGTTTTAACAACCACGGTTGATGGGTTTAGCCAAAGGTGGAGCATCTATGGTAAAATTGGATCTGGTGGCTGTGATTTGCAGCTTATGTCACTGAATTCTCCCCCCCTTTTTTTTCTGACAGTGCAACGGCTGAACTATCCCAGACAGTGGATGCATAATTTAATGTTTCCCATTATGTTTTGCTTTTGATATTATAGTAAACAATTAGAATAATGTGGAATTATTCAATTTTTTTACAGAGCTCAGAAAAATTTTTAAATATTTTTTTCAAGAAAATAAGGCATTTAAAACTCATATAAAAGGCCAATAAACCCCTAAACAATTATATTGTTCAATTCATGATTAATCAAGGTTAGGATCTAGATAATGGCTAAGTATCTTTTTAATTAAATAGTTTCTACAGCAGGGCTGAGGGTGATTCTTACTAGTTATGTGACTGTGGGCAAGTCACTTTATCCTAAAGAGGCCCAATTATCTTGCTCACAAAACTTGGTATTAGGTAATGTGTAAACATGAAAGTTCTTTACAATTTGGAAAGAACTGAAAAATTTAGAATAATTTCAAAATCCCACTTTATAATAAAAATAGACTTTAATGTATACTCCAATATCTAAAGGGATATAGAGACTTCCAGTTAAGTTGGCTGATTGACTACACGATTTTATTTCTCTCCTTCTCATGATTCCAATTAAATGATAGCAGAGAATTTTCTAAAAGGTAAAAATATTAAAGGAAAAAAACACTGGTAAATGAGATTTAAGAAATATTTGGAAATTGGAAAAAGAAGTGGTAACTGATTTAGCAAAAAAAAGAGGAAGTACAACCTAAACTGATTGCTGATAGACTGAAAAAGCACGACCCTAGTC